ATCGCTTTGCCGGTTTGATCATCATCCTAAGCAAGGTTAAGTTTTTGATTAAAAAATTAGATTTGTGATCAAATATTATAATCAAATGAAGTTGATTATTTATCATCCTCTGGATCTAATCTTTATTACAATTTTACGACATTGAAAAGCCAACAACACGTCAGATTATGTAAAACTGTCAAATTTCTCCATTTTAATTTAAACCTTAATATTTTAGGAGAAGAGTTTAAAATCAACTGAAGAGATTTAACATATTGTGGTAACCTGAAGTACAGCTGTGTACATTGTTGATATTCTACTCATTTTTGACTTATTATAGTCTTGGTATATAATAGAATCAAATGATCCCTGCAAATTGCTAATGAACCTGACCGCCATTTTGATGACGTAATAGCGTTCAAGAATCAGTACCGATAGCAAATAGACACTGGTTGATTAAGCACTTATTGTATTGAGATCACACATAATTATTTTTATGTTCTTAAGTTTTTTGTTACTTGTTATGGTTGACTAAAATTACAACGGCTTTCATGATTTTCACAATAAGTAAACATACTGCAACTTATATTAAATATATCTAATGTCTATCCTTTCATTGTTACTTTTGATTAGGTTTTGAAAAAATGTCTTTTCCGTTTGTTATAGCGTTATTACAAAGTAAATATATTATTTCATGTTGTTTATTTTCCATATACCTCAATATTTACATATACATCAATATTCTAGGGATTATTCATAAATATTTCAACAATTAACAAATAATTTATCTTTTGCCTTTTGTGTTATCTATACTTTTTATTATGAAATGACGTCACGCAGGTGTTATTAAAGAAGGTTCCAGCGCATTAGCATTTTACAGGACTTACACATATGGCGTCTTCATCAAAACACAACTTCCAAATTTAAATGAAAAATGAAGTTCATGGGTTCACTTTCTTCTATAATTCCTCTATACCATCTCATGTTTTATGTAATACGATTGCGTATGCAAAGGGTGCTGTTAAAATAGCTAATTTGGCCTACAAATGTGTGAAAATAGAAACTAAATAATAGTGGAACGCATTCTTACCCACCAGCGTTATAAATAACGGCTTTAATTAAGTCGTTTTATACTCTGAAAGTTAAAAATTACCGTATTTAAAGATAAGATAAAAACCCAAAGTAAGATATTACAACAGATAAATATTCGTTTGTTTGTTGAAATGAATATTTAAAATCTGATATATATTTATTGATTTTACTTATGAATTGGTGCTGGTAACTGAATAATTTTACTCTAATCAGATAGACTACTAATTTATTTTTCCATCATGAATTTTAAAAAAAAGTACCTATGGTAGATGGACATACATACGTAGGTACTTAAATGTTTTGCTACAACTTCGACACGTTTTTGATTTTTTTTTATTAAATCCTACTCCAATGAAAAATCTACTTCCCGTAAATGTATATAATATACATAAAACAATAGTTAAATAAATACTTTCTAAGCGGTTAATGTAAATATTACAATTTGCATAGCGTTATTAACATAAAAATCTGAATAATTAACACAAATGAGATCTTTATTCAAGATTTTTTTATCACGTCATTTACGTAATGAAGAAATTAAGATCGAGTGAAACTTCCGTATGAAGTTTGAAAAGGAACAAAATTTTATATAAACAAATCAATCGTACATACTCTATTAAATTATTAGCTTATTAAAACAAAAGTAGGGGACACTGCCCCAAAACTATCAGAGCAAATGCCGCAGAATGACTGTGCCCAAATGTGGCCTCATTTCAGACCGAGCGAATACTTAAGCCTACCGTTAAAAGCATAACAATACACCCACAAACTACTAAAAAGAAAAACCATTCCTTAGACGAAAACATAGCAAAAATCGCCGTTCGCATCTTTTAAAATCACATCACTATCCTCCAATTTTAATAAGTGTGCCACAAATTTCTGATAATTAACATTTGTAAAAAGCAAGACACAAGAGATGAAACTCATAATTATCTCCTAACAGTTAATTTAAACCACTGAAGTATACATTTTTATTAGAACTTCATCTAATTAAGAAACCAAATTCGTGCTAAGTCTGCGGTCGGTGTAATTAGTGCAAACTGCCGACTCACAGAGAAAGCACTGGTGAAATTAGAGAAATTTCCGTCTGTATTCAGAAATATTATTATATATTGGGCGTTAACGTTCTTTGCGCCACGTAAGTTGTTACGTTGTTTATGATAACTCTCCTTATCAATTATGTGTAACTTGCTATCAGATTATTATAAATAAAAATGCCATGTAGCATGTTTTAACCAATAATTTGGGAATGTTCTAGTTTAATAAACTAATTTTGTTTGAATATTGTGATTTCTGTTAGTATATGTAGGTGTTTAGGCATTATTTGAAGGAAAACAATGGGTTATGGCTGGATTATCAAAACAATTATTGGACGGACAACGCATATACGTTTCATTTATTATTAACAGTTTTTTTGTAATATTTGCGTCAATACTAAACAGATTGTTATGATGAAACTTTTTTGAAAGATTAGTCCCAAAGGCTCCTTTATATTTTCATGAGATTTCATTAAGATCAACAATTTCATGTAACCTGAAATATTTCAAATACCTCATACATCTAACAATATATGTAACACCAAAAAATAATAAAATTAATTCTGGATCCCGTTATGAAAACTTTTTAATTTCACCTTTTACCTAAGGGATGCTACGTCATATAACATAAGCATATAATTTACACGGACGAAGTCGCGGGAAAGCAGTTAAGTAGATAGTTTTAAAACATAGAATGTCCTCACCGGTTTAACTTTTTGTCTATTTCTTTTTAACCGACTTTAAAATCCAAAAATAGGAGATTGTATATTCAACGGCGATGTATGTTTTTTTACCTTTTTTTATAATTCCGACAATTGTTGAACGATTTTCAAAATTATTTTTTTATCAGTTTGATGGACCGAGGTGGTCCTCTTTTATTTTTTATCGAAATCGAATCGGGAGTTTCCTTTTATAACAAAATACGCTTTTCACCATAAATCAATATGTATTATATTTCACACGTATTTCATGAATTTCAGCTGAATTCAAAATCCAAAAGGAGGGTTATCTATGTTCAAAGAGTATATATTTTTTTAAAGCAGATATGTCAATTGAATTGTGAACCAATTTCTATTATAGGTGTTTCCCTGCGGCTTCGCCTGCTTAAATTATAGCCCATGTCCAACTCGTATTATATATACCTACAGCTTCCCGTTGATGAATGACTTTTATATTTAAAAAATTAGTTTCGGAGCAAACATACAAGCAATCAAATCTTTCCTCTTTATAATACGAGCATAGAATTATTGTAAAAAAATATGTCGAGCAAATAAACAAAATCTTATTTTCTAAGATTTTCGCTGTGTTGAATATTTTTTTTTTTATATAGATTTTTAGTGTTAACTATAATATGAAAATATTAATAACACTAAAATCCATGAAATTAAAACTTAAAAAATAATAGACCCGGTTTTAAAACTTCAAAAAATTTATAAATAATACTTAACTCAAAAGCTTATTCCAGAAAATGCTGTCGATGTCGGGCGCCTATCATTTAATAATAAACCTACAGAAGAGCCCCATCCGTCTTGAATAGGATTTTCTTGAATAAGCTTTTGAGATAAGTATTATTCTATTTCTTTCTAATTTGTTTTAAGGAATAACCATAAAAAAGAGTCAAACAACAAATAATCACGCCAATAAAAATATGTAATAGGCATTATAGTATTATGTTATACGAAATCTTCTAAAATCACGTTTACAAGATGTACTCATAAGTACTTGTGAGCTATGAAATTTGTATTGTAGCACCACACGTGTTTACCTTTTTGCCATTTTTTGCCTGGAATAACAGGCCTCAGACCTCTAATTCCATCAACAGACCAATCAAGAACAGGTGTAGGATAAGACACACAATGGTGATGGTGCTGACGGTTTATGTTGACACATGATGTAAGGTTCTTGGAGAAAGAAGTTGAAAAATTGAGGGAAATTCTAAAGGCAAGTTAAGATAACGAACTCACGAAAAATCGCGAACTTCAACCGGTCAACTAAATACCTATACTTACTAAGTATTATTGTTTAACCATAGTATCTTGTATTTCTATTTATAAAAAATAAACAATATCTTTTGTTTATGCTATTTTTTTTATATTTAAATACTACAAAAACAAATAAGTGATTGATCCTTATTGTAACTATTTATATCGGTTATTATACTATTTTGTAAGCATGGACACGTTAATTGACCAAAACAATACACGCAATTTCTCGTTATGACTGACTTTAGTTTGTTCAGAAATACATTTTGAATATTTATTACCGTTTCGATACAACAGACAATAACATGGCGCTATACTTAATTACCTTCTCAAGCTTAGTTATTTTTGTAGAGGCCAAAGAGTTGCGTAGAGGTTTTCAATGAGGCTCTACACTACACACACGCAAAAACAGCGCGTAGCATTTTACTAGAGGATATTTAAAACTGAGCTCTGGTAACCCTGAGTATACGAGCACGTTTACCGCATCTCCATATATGGTGACAAAAGTGGAGGCAGCTTCTGATTGGTTGAACCGATAGTGTGTGAGCGCTGATAAGGCCAGTTTTATATAGTTTATCCTCACGTGCCGTTGCTCATTTAGTAGTGGCCAGCTCAGCGGCGCGGTGTGTACTTGTTGCTTAGTCATAACTTAATTTAAAAGTAAGTTTCATTTACTTGTTTCAATCAACTTTTAATTAATTAAACTTTAGAGATCACGCAAGCTAGCTTTATAATCTAAACATGTTTATTTAAAAAGTGAACAGGTGACGCCTTTATGTAACTTTGATTACGTAATCAATTCAGTGAAGTGATAAAATCTGGTGACTCAGTGTTTGCTATATAGGAATTTAGGATTATTCTTATCTGACAGGTAATTAATATGGGACTCTTGCATATTTCAGACTAATTCACAATGTGCGACGAGGAAGTAGCCGCATTGGTAGTAGACAATGGATCCGGTATGTGCAAGGCTGGGTTCGCCGGCGACGACGCGCCGCGCGCCGTGTTCCCATCGATCGTGGGCCGCCCGCGCCACCAAGGCGTGATGGTCGGCATGGGCCAGAAGGACTCGTACGTCGGTGACGAGGCCCAGAGCAAGAGAGGCATCCTCACCCTCAAGTACCCCATCGAGCACGGCATCGTCACCAACTGGGACGACATGGAGAAGATCTGGCATCACACCTTCTACAATGAGCTGCGTGTCGCGCCAGAGGAACACCCCGTTCTGCTCACTGAGGCTCCCCTCAACCCCAAGGCCAACAGGTATGTACCTACTCAACCCTATAAACATCGCCCATTCGTATTGCCGCCTGTACTCTCAGCAACTCACTAACCACCGTCCATTTGGTTACAGAGAGAAGATGACACAGATCATGTTCGAGACCTTCAACACACCCGCCATGTACGTGGCTATCCAGGCCGTACTATCACTGTACGCGTCCGGTCGTACCACCGGTATCGTGCTCGACTCCGGTGACGGCGTCTCCCACACAGTGCCCATCTACGAGGGCTATGCTCTGCCACACGCCATCCTCCGGTTGGACTTGGCCGGCCGTGACCTCACCGACTACCTGATGAAGATCCTCACCGAGCGTGGCTACTCGTTCACCACCACGGCCGAGCGTGAAATCGTACGTGACATCAAGGAGAAGCTCTGCTACGTCGCACTTGACTTCGAGCAGGAGATGGCCACCGCTGCTTCCAGCAGCTCGCTCGAGAAGTCCTACGAGCTTCCCGACGGACAGGTTATCACCATCGGAAACGAGAGGTTCCGTTGCCCAGAAGCCCTCTTCCAGCCCTCATTCTTGGGTATGGAAGCTAACGGCATCCACGAAACTACATACAACTCGATCATGAAGTGCGATGTCGACATCCGTAAGGACTTGTACGCCAACACAGTATTGTCCGGTGGTACCACCATGTACCCTGGCATCGCCGACCGCATGCAGAAGGAGATCACTGCCCTCGCGCCATCGACCATGAAAATCAAGATCATCGCGCCGCCCGAGAGGAAATACTCCGTATGGATCGGTGGATCCATCCTCGCCTCCCTCTCGACCTTCCAACAGATGTGGATCTCGAAACAGGAGTACGATGAGTCTGGCCCCTCGATCGTGCATAGGAAGTGCTTCTAAACGCCAACAAATGACTGTTCCTAATTTATGATGCCCTACACCAGTCCCCGATATGGGCGGCTCAAATTACGCTTGTGATTATTATTTAAGTACAGTATTTAAATAGGTTGTAAGGTATCGTAATATGCATATTACGTAAATTCAATTTTGACAAAGATTTTTGATTTATTTATGAGAGTCACTAACCAATGTTTAATATTAAAATAATTTATACCGGTATACACGAGTGCTTTTTAATTGCTATCCTCGTTTTCTCGTGAGCTACGGTGCAGTTATGGCCACAATGTTAAAAGTGAAAGACGAGATACCGTTGAAGATCTCTTTGACACAAATTTGCGATCTCGCAAGTCAACCGCCGATCTCGCTGACTCACTACTTTTAATATAAAACTAATTACGCATTCACTTATATGAACAGAAATGTAAAGCAAAAACTGACAACATCAACAGTTTCAGCACCTATTAGTATAATCTAAACCAATCAACCTATGTGGGTATATTAAGGACACTTAGCTGTCGTGCCGTAAAACAATTTCGCTAAAGGTAATTTCATTAAAATGGGAGGTAATTTATAGACTACTGTGAACTATTACTTTATTAATTGTTATTTGCTACTGGTACCGCAAAAAACCGCGCCTTCATTATTCTTCCATACAAATGGAAATGTCATGGACATTTGAACAAGCAGGCTTGATAACAGCGAATTCCTTAGATAATTAGGTCTTTGTAACTATAAACGGAATTATCTGGTTTTTCATTCTTAGGTAGAGCTATATAACATTCCATCGAGTTTATTAACATTTAACTAAAGAATAATAATAGAAAATAATTTCATCTATATCTAATTAGATGTTCATAAATTCTCCGGACTCCATTTTCTTTTGTTGACATGTGTAATATATATAAATAATATTACATTTATATACGTCTTAGTATTATGAAGGTATGTAAATAACTTTAGTAAATCCTGAAACATATACAGATATTCTATTGTAAACAAACTCTACGCTTGTTTACTTATAAGATTTTGACAAGCAGATGAACCAAGTTATGATATCATACGAAATATATTTAATCACGACTCCACACTATGAAGTCATTTGGAAAAATGACATATTAAGTAACAAGGATGTATTTGTAAACAGACATTAATCGGCTCCTGTCAGACGTAACAATTCCATTGTCAACAGCTTAACTCTTACAGCGAACGCATCAAAGCGACCTTAAACTTGGACTCGGTGTGAACCTGCGTTGTAAATAGAGATTTTGTAGTTTACTGACCTACAGCTGTGTTCAAATATAACCCGGTTATAATTAGCAGACACACCCGCGTTACCAGCCGTTCTAGTGACGTCACGTTGCACTATTTCTGGATGATTTGACGACGTCTACTTGTGCGTCTCGTCTACGCAACTATTTTCACTATACACACACGTGTGTATATTGATTGATCGGGTAATTGTCATAACATTGATTAAAAAACCAGCGAGCGGTAAAAATAGACATGCAATTTATTTATGTCGGTTACTAACTAATTAAGAACAGTTGTTCTAACTGTTTTGTTATAAAATAAAGCTCGTTTTATAAGGATCTCCTCAAGTCGGTCCTCTTTTGGTGAGGATAATGGCTTTGACGAAAGTGTCACAGCCGACTCTTCCATTTACTGCGGTCTTCTGATTGGTGGAAATGGAGCCTGGGGTATCGGCATTCTTCGCACTTATCAAACCATCGTCTGGAACTAAGTCTTCTTGGTCCTTTGTCACCCACTTTGCCGGTTATAATGAGCTTTTCCAATTTGTCTGTACCTCCGAGTGCTACACGTACAAAGTATTTGTGAATCTAACTTGAATTTCTTTAGAATCGAGATGTTTGTGTTATGTTTGTTTAAAATTGTAATGGATATGGTTAAATTATGCTTTATCGCATTTAATAATCTTACTACCGTTATCTATATTTGAGTTCCTTGTTGAAACAAAATTTACGAAGAATTCAAACAATTAATATAAGATATCTCAACTACTAATTCTTAAAGTGATAAGATATCGTCGAATTGTCTTAAGATAAACAATGATATCACAAGAATTAATTCTCGGATTCATTAGCTCACCAGAGGCCATAGGTTTGGAATGTATTCCCATACAAACTTTTAATTTGGTTCAAACATAGTATCCAAACAGGCTTCTTTAAAATTAAAATATACCATATGACCACATTATATTTATACACAGTGATGTAACACAGGGTAAAACAAATTATTTGTTGTTATCACTGTTGCTATTGTACCTATTGTCCACTTAATACAAACACATTTACATCTACAACAAACAAATTATTTGATGACCAAATAATCTGTCCCAAAGTTGAATTTTTAGTAAAATTTGACATAAGCAACAGATGAATATCAAAATAAAAAGCAGTCACAAATAATAGCCATCGAATATAAAGCTAAATTTGAAAATGTTTTTCTCCACCCAAATCGCTCGATCACAGTTGGAAAATACTATCTTGGTTTCACCAAAATGAAACAGGCATACCAAAATGAAGCATGCACTATTTTTGTATATTTATAATTTTTTATAGTCACAGAGATGCCAGGTGTTACTGGTTGAAAGCTGACAGATCAAATTAGGTCTTGTACTGATTTGATGTAGTGCCTAGTAAAAGGCGTTTACAACGATGTAGATCGGCTGATGAAGTCAGTTCTAAACGCTAATCATGTCGTTTACGAGTTACGTAAATCGATAAGACGCAAGCGGAAGGCTTAGGTTCTGTACGCGATCCTCGCCACAAAATTATCGTGCGACAGTCAATGCCGCGAGTGCAAGCAAGGCTAGGGTCAAGGGCGGACGATCGATCCAGAACCCCTCACCTACCTGCTTCATTTTACCAGCACCGCATTATCAACTTTATCCTTTACATAACAGAATAGGAAATCATGTATAAACTAACGGAGGATTTTTGAAACGAGCCCATATGTTACCATATTTGGGCACAAATTGCACGCTAAGCTGCAGTGTTTGCTGCATGAATTCCTTCTATAGACAAGTTATATATAATACAACGCCCTGTTATGGTGATATTTTAACGATAGGTTTGGATATACCTATAATTTAAAGGACGAGGCTTAAAAAATAGGATGGAAACTGTTGTACTCGTATTGATTTGGATTAACTCTGGTAAAAATCTTGATAACAGATTTTATTAGACAGGGAATAAACAGGTATTATTTAGCACAGCAAATATTCTTGCTATTAAATTATATAAAGGTGATAACCGTTCATCATGTCATCATCATCATCATTTCAGCCGATAGACGCCCACTGCCGGGCATAGGCAAGGATCATGTCAATCATGTCGCTTAATTGTAAAGACAAAATCGTGGTTTTCTCTAACGCTTTGAAAGTAAATTATATCATAAACGATACCATACAGAATTGCTATAATGCTGTGAAGCTTTGAAGGTTAAGTTAGACATCTAACACGACATACGCCCGATAGGGTTGTATAATACTATTTATAGTAAGTAGGGCGGCTCGCATCAGATCACAGCCAAATGGTGCGTTCGTGCGTTCATATGTGTAATATAAGCATCACGTTCTCATAAAAATGGTCATGTGCTAGTTTCTGAAGAGGTTTTTGATTTTTAAATTACTCTATATAGCAATCTTTTCAATTTATTGCTTCAAATTAACTATTTTCCCGCGACTTCACCCGTAGAAATTATATCCTAAGATGTAACTTGCTCTAGGTGTAAGAAATTTCATGATCGGATCAGCATTTCCCAAGATTGCACCCTACAAACAAACAAATTTAGAATTTACTTGTTAATAATATAAGTATAAATACTGGTGTCATGAATAGCATTATAATTCGCTACAGTTTATGAGGGCGAAATAGCGAGAAAACAGCTCTATGATAAAATATGCACGGTAAACACAGACTTTTGTCGTTTCAAATATATGTTTCTATAAACCAATTATTGAATTAAAAAGATTCAAACATTCTTAATGTAATATGCTTAAAAATCCCCTTTGTCCCTGGCACTTTATGATCCGATCTCAGAGTGCCAGGGACAGTGTTAATTATTTTAAGCATAATATTAATCAGTATAGAATTTTGAATGCAAAATTGATCAAATACAAATATTAAAACTATTGATGTTCATTTTCATTCCTCTTTTAGTCTTGTAATCATTTTTATCGACTCTTTATTTTTATTTTAATAATTTTATGATTATTATTAAGTACCTTAACCCGATTATCCGACTCATTTCAAAGAATTTAACCAATCGCTTCTTTCTAATTATACACGCATCTTCTCTAATTTCTCCACACCTCTGCCTACCCCGGCATGGGATATGGTGTGAAGATATAAGCAGATAGATAGAGGTTTACATTAAGGTTGGAAAGTGTGATATATCCTCAGTTTTACATTATAAAACTAAAACCGAAGATATTTTTTTTAAAAGATGGAATTACATTGCTTCATGGTTATTCACATAACTATTCGTGCGTCGTTTATTTGTTAGTCGAGACATATTAATTATGAGTCATTGGTTCAAGAACATTGGTATCATTATGTATTCTACATACGTACGTGTTTTCAATACAATGCCTCGACGACACATTAGAATTCAACACGACATTAAATAGTTTCCTTCGTTGACTCATATTATACTATAAATATGATTTTGCTTATCCTGTGACTACAGTGATATGTTACATGTTTTTAGTATAAGCGTTCTTATTGCAAGTTCAATATTTTTAATCGACTTTAAAATTCAAAAGAAGGAGGTTATATGTTCGGCCAGTGTTAAATTTTTCAGCTAAATTTTAATCCGAAAATAAAGGGATGAAAATGGGAGTGGAAGTTTTGTATGGGGAATTAAAACGTTGCCATTGTAACCATTGTTTACTATTCCATTTGCCATTGTAATTACACCCATGCAACCCATGTCATGATATGAATCATATCCAAATAAACAGTTCCCTAGGAACCACG